TCATGGAGTTCAGTTCACGATGTCTGCTGTTGATTTTGGTAATTTGTAAATGGCTGCCAGATTTCGCATAATTTTGCGGCCTCGCGGATTGACGTCGGTTGTCAGGACTTTCGGCTTAATTAGAAACTCGTCTTTTGGCAAATGCAAAATTTGCCTTGTCTTTCGGCTATGTTAAAATCCTCATCTCCGTCCTCGTCAGCAGTCTGTCGCAGTCTGTCAACGGCTTAAATCAGAGCTGTTCCTCCCTTGCCACAAAAAGCAGCAAACCACCCATCAGCCATCATCAAGAAGGACTATGGACGTGGGACTTATGCTACTCGCACACTCATTAAAATTCAACAAAATTGTTGCCAAATTAACTCAAACATAAGCGAGCAATAAAATTTCCATATTTTCCCCAAAAGCTTACTGGCGACACAAAAAGGGGCGAAAAAGCGAGCCCTGAAATAAAAAATTTGACCAAACTACCCAATGAAAACACAAATATTGAAACAGACGGCAGTGGGAAACTTTACTCAAAGTGTTAATTACATGCACAGGCTTAAAGTTGGAATTTTAATACGACCCTGGAGAGTTGGTCCAGGACCCTTCAAACTCCCAGGTCCTTTTATGCAGGATGTTTGTATGGAAAATCTAAGAGCCACCTGAATGGCCAAGTTTATAATTATTATAAAGTTTAAGGAAGCAAAGTCAAGTCTCCAGTGGTCAATAAACACTTCATATTCAGGTCTCTTATTAATATGAAACAATAAATAATTAAGGGTGTGGTTTGTGGGCAAGAACTTTGATTGGAAAATAGGATTTAGTAAGGCTAGAAATATCTCAGCGAGTTACAAACATTTTTTCATAGTGTTTGATTATTTGAGGAATGTAGTCTTAAATTATTTTCATACCAAACTGATACTTTGGCAATCGTAACTAAACATTAGTTTAGTTCACTGAGAATCCTTTTTAGGTTCAATAAACATTATTCGATACGGATTCGAAGGATATCCGTTGATATTGGAAGTGGCATTTGCTCGAACGGAATTCAATTAGAAGATGCGTAATCCCCGGCACTTTGTCTCCTGCCTCTCCTCGTTTTAATTAAGCTCCTTTCGCTGTGGTGTTAGCCTCGAACCCTCTTACACAGCTCTGCAATTTATATCTAATACAGTTCAAAGATTTATTTACTATATCCCGTACTATGGGACTTTAATTAGCACTCCACTTGTTGGCAGATGGAACGGTTCGTTGGCAAGGAAATAAACACGCGGCGAATGACACTGAAAGTGGCCCGAGAGATGCATTGAGTGGGAGGGTTGAGTTTTTCAGGGCTAAGTAAGGGGTGAACAAGGACCAATGTCATCCTAGCTGGTCAGGCTGAAAAGGGGGGCGAGAAAAATGGGAAAAAGAGAGAGGAGAGCCCTCCAGCATTTACAGACCTTGTTGTGACTTCTTCTCAATGTCTCTTTTTCCTGCTTTTTTTTGGCTCTGAGTTTGAGTTCGTTTCCTGGGCATCCTTGTAGTTAAGCAGAATTTTAATTGATAAATTGCCACTTGGGCCATTACTTGTCGCTGCCGTGGCTCCAGGCGCCGCCTTATTTTCCCCCCGTCTGCCTTCCCCTTACTTTCTCGCTTTTCCCACCCGCCACATCGCTTTGAATAATTTGCAAAAGTTGCGACCAGAACGAAGGAAACTCCTCCTCCGCCGCTGTGGTTGCCACTGAACGTCTCCTCATCCACTTTTGGACGTGCTGTTAGTAGCGTTTACATCATCAAATGAAATACAATAAAATACTTGGACTCATTTAAAAAGCAATTAAATATTAAAAACACTTGTACAATGGCGACTCGGGCTGGATAAAAAGGCAAAACGGGAGCTTTTGGTGACTTTTGGAATTTTGATTGTTTCTTTGCGTTTCATTTACAAGTTTCTCCGACGGATGGGGTAGGGGAGGAAAGCAAAGAAACGAGGGTTCTGTGGTTTTATTTGAGTGATTATGCAATTAATTAAAATCTCTTCGCTTGCGGTTTAAGCCAAAACCCAGAGCCATGGGGATTCTTCTTGCCTTTGGACGTGTTTTGCCCGCCCCAAACCAAGTAATTGAATTAAAATCGGAATGCGAAATTAGCATTATCGAGTGCCAAGAAACGGAATAACGAAACAACTTTCTGGCCATTCGGGGACTTGGCCAAGCAATTTCCCTACCGAAAGTTAAGTTTATTAGAACAACCAAGTCAGGAGATTGGGTTGGAAAAAAGTGGAAACATAACTGCAAAAAAACAAGAGAAGAGTCAGCAAGGAAAGGCGTTTTGGGGGGCAAAAAAGGCATGGGTATAACCGTTGGTGGAGGGTGGAAAAGCACACATAAGCGTTCAGTTATTCCATTAATTTGATTAGAGTTTCTGACGGATCAGGGGATACGGTTAACGCGAAAGAAAGAAAAGCAAAGAAAAAGAGGGAAATTTGGCGGATATACAACAAGAAGCCGAAGTGGAAAATGCCCTTTCAAAGGGGTTTATGGTAAGAAATATGAAGTTAAGTTATATATATTTCTTAAAAGGTAACTTAAAGTAACTTTTCCTGTTAATAAATAAAGTAATACAAACTATATCGTGATTAGCAATGGTTTCAAGGACTTTATGTTCTTTTTGGTACATAATACATGCAAATTAATAATAAAAATACTTTATTTTACCTTTAAAATGTTTAAAAAACAATATTTGCCATTTTCTTATAACAGCATTTCCGCTTTGACAAACTCGTTGTAGGATTTTCCACACCCTTTCCAAGAGCGCACCGCCAACAAACTCAGCAACACGCGCTGAGCAAAAACTAAACAAAAAAAAAAAGGAAAATAAAGGCGGAAAAGCCAGCGGTAAGAAAAACATAAGAATGAAAAACATGTAGAAGCGGAAGAAGATTTCCCAACCACGTGGCCACACCTTATGAAGTGCCGTTATTAACTATGGCCTTATGCCGGGGCAACTTATGCCTCATAAGAATTTAACGCTCGAATGCTCAAATTGTCAATAAGAAACTTGGCACGCCCACTTTTGGGGCTGGGGCTATCTGTCTGGCTAAGCCAAGTTGGCAACATTTTATGCCACCTCAGTTACATGCACACACTTACTACGCTTGGCATTTAACGGCAATGTCCACGCGTTTTCATTAAGCCAACTTTGGTCCTGGCCAAAAGCCGACGACGAGGCCTGGCAATCATTTTTTATGGAGCTGCGCGGCCAGCGCATCAAAAACCCATTTGGCCGCCATTAACTTGATTGAGTCGAGCTGTGCGAGCCGTGTTCTCCGCTTTTTTTCCACTTTTCTTTTTTTTGCCTTATTTTTCTGGATTTTTTTTTGTATTTTCGGGGGGCGTTGCAAATGAAAATTGATCATGGCCCAGTGTCTCTTCCATGTTTACAACTAATATTTCTAGCGGATTTCTGAGGTGATGCGATCGGCGGAGACTTCGGGGGCCATTAGTTGTCATTAGTGGGCATTTCCTTAATTAAACTTTGCCCCCTCAATCAGTCATTAAAGGGTGTTTCTGTTTCTTCTTCCGCTGTTGCTATCTTTCCAGTCATTTGTCATCTGGCCCACGGCATCTGCAATCCAGCAGTTGTTTGCTAATTAAAGGACCGACCTCCCAATGCCAATGCCAAGATTGTGGTCTCCTTGGAGCTGCTCATCTGCACGCTCACTCCTCAGGCCAATGCTCCTGCGAACCTCCATCCACCCAATGGGTTGACCTACTTCCACGGACAGGTACTGAACCACTTCCACTGATTTGCCACTGCGATTCAAATTGGCATTTGGTGGTCAGGCTTTACCAGGACCTCAATATAATCTCTACAAAGTGTACTTTCTTTATGGTTTAACTGGAAATATTAAGTGGTAAATTAAATATACAACTTAAACTAGTGATTTAGAAGATGTCTGTAGAAAGTAAAAGTTTATTTCTCTTGAAAGAAATTCAAGTTTACACATGTTGAACATATCCCTGGGATACTACTACTGTCACTTTAGCCAATTACTCAGTGGGGTTTCTTATTTGGAATGCCAAAACTGGCTTCTCCAGATTCGATTATGGCTCTGCCTTAACCCTTCAGATTGTGATCCAAAAAATGGCTGCACTGCCTCCTCTCAACTCTCAGCTCTCGGCTCTCAGGTCTGAAGCCAACTGTCACAGGACAGCATATTTAAGCTTAGCTGGCTTACACAAAATAAATAAATGTGATTTGTCATTTTGGAAAACATGAAATGGCAGCAGTTGGAACAGGACGAGTAAACTGTTTCGGGAGAGAGCATTAAATTGCAGTCAAATGGCACGCTGTGTGCATCCCAAATGCCAAGGATCTTGAGAGGAAGGACAACGACGACGACGACGACGGGGGGTTGAGGATGAGGGGCTGTATTAAATTATTCGAGCGTGCAGCAGCCAGACGGAGATACTTTCGTATGCAACACTGAGCAGTCTGTCCAAGTCCAAGTTCCACATATACATACATACATACATATGCTCTGATGTTTGCCTTGTGACTTTTGCCAGATCAAATAAATGTTGGACTTGGGGGACTCCAGGAGGTTAAGCTGCAGAATGCCTCCTCATCAGCAAATCAGCATCACAATCTGACAGCAAGTCGGTCCAACTTAAGCGCCATGTAAAATTCATTTGACCAGGCCAGGACGGGCAACGAGCTGCAAATGAAATGACGAAACAAGCGTGTTGAAGTCACCTGTCAGACCGTCAGCGAGGTGGCAGTGACTGCGGGAGTGGGTCAGTTGGTGACTCGTTTTGGAATTCCATCAAAGAACTGGAAAAGTGCCTTCGCCATTGACCTTTCTGAATGGTCTCTGCACTTGGCCAAGTCAACACGGAATTGGCTATGAGTAAATATTCAAAGAGAGTAACTCAACTCAAATGTCATTTAATTTGTACTTATTTACCTTAAACTATGACATTTATGTGCTTTTAATGGGAGGAAACAGGACATTAAAGATTGCTTTTTAAAGGGTTTTATTTGTTTTATTTTTATATTTAAAAATACAAATCACTTTTAATTTAATTCCAATTAAAGAAAAGATATTTCTAGATACTTATTCCGATTCATTCGGGTTGCAGGACAGTTCTCTTTCCCTTAAAACACTTCCACATCCATTTGGGCCATCGATTTCGGACCCTTCAAATTTACTACGCGGTTGAATGATGACAAAAGAGCAGAGCAGGTCCTCGGACACACTCATCACCGCGCCAGCGTTGTTCATCAGACCGCAGTAATTGGGTGCTGATAATATGGTGACCAGCTGGCGATTGGCAAAGAACTCATAACCATCCTCCACAACCTCATGGGCACGAACCATTATGTCCAAGTCATGGGCTTTCAGGAAATCCCTTACAATGACCTCATCGAAGGTGTAGCTTACACCTCGATCATTGTAGCCCCAGCCCTGGGTGGTGTGATTGAGATCTGTCCAGAGGAGATCGCAGAGGACCCCCTCATCCGGAACATCGGTTGGTCGTCGAAGCTGCCGGATTTGTTCCAATCTCCTAAGAGATGGACTCAGGCCACCGTGACAGCAGAAGATGCGCTCACCCACCACAGCAGCCACCGGAAGCCAGTCAAAGCAATCGATGAAACTCCGCCACAAACGAACTGAATGCCTACGTTTAACCTCGTCATAAAATCCGTATATCCGATTTATGCCAGCACACTCGTGATTTCCACGGAGCAGAAAGAAGTTCATGGGATACTTTACCTTATAGGCGAAGAGTAGACAGATCGTTTCAAGGGACTGCTTACCCCGGTCCACGTAATCGCCGAGAAACAAATAGTTGGCTCTGGGAGGAAATCCACATGCCTGGAAAATGCGCAAGAGATCCGTAAACTGGCCATGGACATCACCGCAGATTTTCACAGGGGCCGCCAACTCTAGGAGCATGGGTTGGCCCATGATTACACCGCGGGCCATCTGGATGAGTCTTTCGATTAGATTTTCAGTTAGTTTGGAATCCTTTCCATTGAGGGATGTTAGCTCTTTTATGATGTAATCTACTTCTTCAGAGGTTATAATAGCCATGTTTTTGGGTGCTTAGGTGTCATGAAATAACAAAAATTTACTGATTTTTGTAGAAAAAAAAAATATTTGCGTTTTTCTAAAACGAAATTTTAGCCGACTACTTTGATTAAAATTTCCAAAAACTAATTACACAAAAATCCATTTTGCCTGAGGATGTATTGCAAATTAATTTTACCTTCTTTTTTATCTCCTAATTTAAAATTAAATTTCTAGTTCCTTTTTTGTTGGTTTTTGTTATGTGCAACATATTTTAACGAGCTTATAACTATTTTTTTATGTGCCCGGATAATCCGCCTGTTCCTTCCTGCTCACAAACCCATATCGGATTTGAGCCCAGACTTGACTTGGCTTAAAGCAGAAGCGTTAAAGTGCAAAAGATTTATGGAATTTATTTATGTGCCAGTTAAAATGACTACAACAGGCGGTGGTAAGTGTCAGGGTGGTTGGGTTGTGAACTGAAGGCCGTTGCCCATCATCATCATCATCGTCATCGTCATCATGATGGTTGTCGTCATCGTCATCAGAAGCGCCATCACAATTTTCGTTGCGGCGGTGTGGACGTAAGCGGATTTGCGACAAAACTCATTCGCCATGGACACGATGCCACGCCCATCGTTGCCCCCTTGAGTGGACCCGCTGCTCACCCACAAGCTTGGCTCTGCTTGGCTTGAATCGCTCGGCTGGTCAAAACCTGCGACGTCTTTGCCGCTTGTTAGCAGTTGACAGCAAAGAGCGACGGGGCTAAATCCTGTTAAAATTTAGTGCAAAATAAGATAGAATGCTGGATGCTTAGCCTGGGAAAAAAGGAAAGTAAATTATTCGTTCTTCGTTCTTCGTTCTCATTGAATGCAGAGCTACGTACAACGTGAATTTTTCCACTTTTCTTTTGCTCTTTCACTCAGCTTTCCTCTCCCCTGCATTTTCCATTCAGAAAAATCTATATAAAAAATATAAAATAAATAAAATAAAGTTGTGACTGGCCATATACATAAGTTTCGCCATTTTATACGTACAAGACCTACCAACATAAATATCTTTGTATTCCGCTGGCCCATAAATTGTCGCCGAAAGCTCCGAAAACAATAAAAATAAATGAACTTGAGTGAGTCTTTGCACTGGAACCGAAAATGAAACCGAAAATGAAACCGAAACTGAAACAGAAACTGAGAATGAGACTGAGACTGAGACCCAAAAATAAAAAAAGAGAAGCCCCAAATTGGAACTGGAACTCGAAACGAGGCAATTTGATGTTGATTATTACTCGTCCTTCTAGCGGGAATTACTTTTCTCGGCTATGGTTTATGTCCCGGCTATTTTGGCTATTAGTATTTATTGTCCTGGCCACTGCCGACCAAAATCGCATTCTAAATGATAAAGAATTTGTTGTCTATATATCTTCATCAGCCGGTCAAAGAAAGTGACAGATATAAACTAATAAAATTTATGCAATAAAGCTTCTTTATATATATTTTTGTTGAAATGCCTTTAATTAAGTGTCTTCCTAAGAGAAATTCAAAATTAAATATTGAATATTGGACAGTTTCTGATTTTCTTGATAAGCCTGATTTTCATTTTAACTTTTCGTAAACAGCAAAAAAGCAAAATGAACCAAAGTTTCTATGAAGTTTCTGATTTATTATTAAGTCCTGCCAATATTTACCTATTTTCAGCACCGGAAAATGACTTCACTAATGCAGTTCAATTTTTCCCCTTTAGGAACTCTAAAAACTCCTTTTAAAAAGTTGCATCTTATACTTGCCTCTGCCTAAAATTTAAATACGCTCTTGTGCCCTGCAAACCAGCTTTTCCTGTAAGTTTTAATTTTCAAATTAAAATCTCTGACCGACAAGCTCTTTTCCATGAATTTACTGGAGATTTCTGAAAGTTTTCTATTAGCTACATTGCCCCCCTACTGCGTGGCATAGAAAATCAAAATCAAATTCACATAAATGCGATTGTTTATAAGGGGGAGTAAGGTGGGGGATGTGGGATTGGGGCACTGGAGCATACATGAACCGGACAACAATTGAAAGAGTTGCCATGGCTGCAGGACATCGGGGCGTGGGGCAAGGTTGCTTCTAAGTCCCAACACGTGCTACGGAGCTCTTGCTTTTCTTGCCATACTATATACTGATGGTGAACCAAGTGCACTGAGAAAATAAGTTATAAAAAAAATTTAAATTAAAATATTTTTAAATATTGCAAAAACATAAAGGTAAATGGTAAAGTAGTCAGCAATTGAAGGCATTTTTTGAAAGGCCTTTCTGGTTGATAGTTTTAGGTATAGTTACTACCTTTTCCCATATTTTCCCAGTGCATAATGATGCCTCTCAACTTGCCACTCGACTCGGTTCGTCTCCCTGTGTCGGTCGTCTTTGGTCTGAGGAGAGAAGCATCTAAAAAGCAATAACAAATGGCGACAGTTAGTGTGTGGAATGCAGTTGTATTTCACTTGCTTTTTTACCACGGCCCCTCCACTCTCTTTCAGCTTAACATTTCACTTTTCACTTGTGCCCCAGAACCAGAACCAGAACCATTGCCCTCATCCCTCAGCCCGGTTCATTTTGCACTTTTTACTGCTCCGTGTCTGATTCAGAATCTGCTCCTGCTGCTCCTTTCTACACGTGTCGGTGACATTTCCCCGGGCGTGCATTCACATAAATATTTGCAAATAGTTACTCACTTGAAACTTGTTTGATTTCGTCAATGGTTGAGGTGTATAAAAATATTGAGATGAAGAAATCATCTTTTTATAATAGCAATTACCAGCGAAGTGCTATGATAATTGTCTTAATTTAGTTAAATCAACTTTAACCACAAACACTGAACATTTTAACTAGCTAAACCAATTTAATTTTTGCTTGCATATTTACTTAGCTGCTAAATATATGTTTTTGATCCTGTTATAGCTGGATTAAATTTTAATTTCACATTTCAAAACCCAAACACACACTATATATATATTTTTATGAAATCAATAAAGAACATTTAGTTAGGCAAGCAAACTGAAATTAAATGAAAGAAAAATACAAGCTCACAGTCCGTTTAATGCACTTAAACTACTCAAACCGAGTGGCGGAAAGGAGGAAAGGAAAGCGGGCACATCAATGGATGCAATCTGTAAGTAAACTTTGAGAGCTCGACACAATCTCTGGCTTCAGTCTTGGGGCTTGACAACTTAATGTCGGGCTAGAAAACAATTTGCATGGCCTGAGAAATGCCAGCTGAGGCCACAAATAAATATTGAAACCGAAAAAGGATTTCGTGGTGAGGGCGTAAAAAGGAGCATTTTGGTTCGGTCCCCAGGGGCCTTCAAGTCGTCCTCATAATCTGATGGTAGTTATAAACTCCTAGCCAGCGGCCGGACCAAACCAAAGTCATTTATATTTTTGTGCCCGGAGGAGAGTCTTGGATTTCACAGCTAGCACCAGCAGCAGCCGTAGCAGCAGCAGACGGGGCTGGTAAATATAATCATTCATGGTTTTCAGAGCATGAATCACATGCAAATGGCCAGGGCCGGTGGCCCGTTGTGTTGCCTGTGCAAATAGATTCATAAATCAGTTTGAAAATATTATTTGATTTCCGTTTTCACAAAATGCCACAAAAGAAGGCTTTCACCTCCCGCACTTTTCCGTACCCTTATCGGTGTCCGAATCCGAGATTCTGAGACGCTGTCGGAAGCTACTAATTGGAGCATAAAGTACCAGCAACAAATGCCCGGCATTATTATTCTTTTCCACTTGCTGAATGGTCAATACCCTTAAAGAATTTGAATAAAATTTCCATGACTATTAGCCAGGCTTGAGATTGAATGGAAGATGATTCTTGAAAAAGAAGATTATTAGTAGGTTGGGGAATGAACGAAGGTCTGTGTTAAGTTAAGAGCCCATTAAGTTCGCCGTTATATACAGTTTTTTGTATAAGGCGAAAGCATTGAGGAAGGCTTCTAAGTGGTTAAAATATATTCTACGGATAATATTTAATTTATATCTGAATTGCCCACGAAAAACACTTCTCAGCCCATCCAACAGAGTATTTATTTTCCACCTTCGACCCAAGACAACTTTTCCTACTCATATTTTTTTCCAACTTCCCTTGGCGGAAGCAAAATGTTGACATTGCGTCATGCGGCCTGTGAATTATGAGTAGTATCTCTGGCTTAGGCCATTGGCAGTGCAACAATGAGCACTTCCGCTTGTCTGTCTCGCCTTCAACCTCTCCCCATATATATATAAATGAGGAATAGGGAGTGAGACTTCCCCTGTCCTTGGATTCATTCTCTATCTCGATTTTTCTTCGCAATCAAGCGTAGCATCCTCGAAAGTATGCAACAGCATCTGGGCATCGGCATCTGTGCTTCTGTGCAACTGTGCAACTTTGGATCTGTGCATTGTGCATTTCGCATTTGGCATTTCTGCTGTTGCCGCATGGCCAAATGTCGGGGTTCAAGTCGTGACAGGCGAAATGAGTTTCTTTCTGCTCATTGTGGCGCAGCGGTTGTGTGGCGAACTGCATCCCCGACCACTGCTTAATATTTCCGCTTGCACACTTGCTTATTTATTATGCTTCCGCCATCCTGCGGCGCAAAAGAGGCAGAGAGCTCACCATTATGCTACACGGACACAAAAAGTATCCTTAAACGTGCTTCTTTTCGATGGATATTTAAACATTAATATTAACAAGTTAGATAACAATCTTTAGATACTCTTTTCGGAATAACACTTTCCCCTTTCCCAATAGTTTCATGAAATACTTTTTAGGAAATAGATTAAAAGTACCATTTTTTTTCCCAGTGCATCTTAGGCTGCCACATGCGGCAAGTTGGCTTCGCTCGCCATGCTCATCTGCCCTAATGCCAACTCACTTGACTTGGCCCATTTGGCCAGGGACTGGGGGACTTGGTTCTTGGGACTTTGGCTATGGGATTGCCACTGGAGCTGTAACTGGGAGTTGTCTGGCCCTCGCCTGCGTCATGTTAAGTGCCTACATAGGATAATCTGCACATCTCAAGTCGACTTTATACGGGCATTGTGCGCCTTTCATGGCCCTCCTCCTGCAGTCAAGCTGTGCAGTTGACTCACAAGTCGAGCCCCCCTGCG